ATCTCTGTTGGCTGATTAAATCTGGAATTCCCTTCAAATGTTGGTGCCCCAAATCCTCTGCCACAGACTATCCCGGACCTCAGCCTCAGCTAGAGGGCTGCTAGCAATGCTGGTTTATTTTTAAATTTTTTAAAGAAGAATCCATAGCTGTCATTATCTCCTTCTTACTCCTTATGTAATGTGTTTGTGCTCCTTAGTCACACTTGGTAGAGGTGGCTTTTTGAAAACAAAATAGTGCCTGGTTTTGTCGTTGTTTCCTATTTTATTGATCTCTACAATTCTGTCCTTCCACCTAGAGTGATTTCATTTGCTGTTATTTTCCTAGCTTCCTGGCTTAAATGATTTATTCATTTCCTTCACACATATATTTTCTATTAAATGTACGTAAGATGTAGCCATATACCGCAGGTTCTAACATACAGAATTTGGTCTCTCATGACCAAATGAACTTTGATTTTACTTGTCATTTCCTCTTTCAACTAAGAATAATCACATGTTTTTCAATTTCCAAACATCCAGAATTGGGAAAGTATACCTTCCTTGTAATTTTTTTAGTTTTTCTGGAGCCTAATGTATGATTGACTATTTTAATTGTTCTAAATGGACTTAAAAAGAATATAGATTCTCAACTTGAGGTCTGTATCTATTTATAAACAAAGTTATGAATCATATTTTGTACTAATCATCTATGAGCCAATCTACTATTGTCAACTTACTCTGTTATTTTATGAGAGGTGTGCGAAATCTTCTACTCTGGACTTTGTCAATTTTCCATGTATTTTGGACAACTTTTACCTTACGTATTTAGATGCCATGTTATATGGTGCATAATGATTCATAACCATTACAATTTCCTGATAGACTGCATGACTGCATCTTTTATTAACTTTTTTATAACCTTTTCTACTTAGTGTTTTTTGCATCAAATTTTACTTTGACATTACTATTCGTCCTCTACTTCTGTGTGCTTAGGATTTGTCAAGAAATATCTCCATTCCTTTGTCATTTCCATGTCATGTTTTAGGTGGATCTGATACCATCTAACTCATCTCTTCCAGAAAGTCCTTAAAACTTCTGGTCACATGTTAGATATTTCCCTGCTTTTCACTGTTGTAAGGAAATAAATAGATATTACTTTTATATTTCTTCTGTCATTCATTGGGGCTTTAGGAGGGAAAGGAAGTAAACAAGAGAGATCTCAGTCCATCAACTGAAACTGAAATTGCTAAAATGTGTTTATAAATTTAACATTTAAACTGAATCATTTTCTTAGTAATAAAGTTACCTATAATATCTTAACATACCAAGGGATTTTTAAAAGTCATTTCGGGTAGGCCAACGATGTTAAACTATTTCCATGTTTTTCAGTTTTTAGAAATTATGTTTTTCAAAAGCAAAACAAAACGTGCTTTTTCCTCTCAAGGTGCTAACACTTCTAGAAACTTAGCAGTGCTCATCCAGAAAGTAAGGAGCTTCCTGGAAGACAGTCTGGCCAGGGCCAGGTATCCGGAAGATAGGAACCTCCCAAGCCACAGCCTGGGCTTGGACTTCTTCCCCTGTACCTGCTGATAGCTCTACAACCTTCAATCTCCTGTATCCTTGATGTTACACTTGAAGGTAGATGTTCTGCTTTCTCTCTGCCCTCTCTCATCTGGGGAGTCTAATTATTAAAACAAGGCTACGGTTAAAGGGCCCAAGACGAAGGGGAAGGAAACTGAGGAAGCTGAACTATCAGTGGTCCCAGTTCAACCTCCACCCGAGCTATTCCACACAGCTGACCAGGAAACAGGTTAAAGGACACAGATTCTACAGTCTTCCTTTGGAGACTGTTACAATCATTTCTATGACAAGCTCATCATATTTCCTAGGTGCTTTCATATTTTTCATTAATTTTTAGGCATAATTATCCCCAAATCCATGTAAGGCAAGCAGGGCACACATTATCCACCTGTGTCACTGGTCAGAAAAGAGGAAAAAGCTTATCCAAGTTCACGCTGCCAGTTCTCAGAACCCAGATCAATGTTATTTGTTATACAGCTACTACAACACATGGGAACGGAGTCAGAATCTGGTACACCACATGGGTGTATCAATCTTTATGCATTTGAATGGTCTCGTCCCAGAAATATATTTTGATTTTCTAGGATAGATCATCAAAATCATCACAATTACTACGGTCTTTTCCTTGCAATAATGGTTTGCCAAAATTGACCGTCTTTTGAGCATTCTGACTTTTGTCCACTAGAGGGCACCAACTACCCATATCCCATCGCCACCTTAGCGGGTCTTTACATCCCTGGCTGCCGCTCTAATATCCTTTACAGTATCAGTACATCTCATATCACGTGAAAATCAAGTTTGTAATACAGTTGACATTAACAGCGTGCTCTCTTACCCTCTCCATGTCAAGAAATTCGTCATCTAGTTTCGTTCCTTCAACGCCACTTATTTTTTCGCTAAATAGCTGCAGAAATAAACAAAGTAATTGCGTTGTATGATAATTTGTTACCACAATTTCTGACTCAAATTATTACCAGCAAAACCAACAACAACAACAACAAAAAACTTCCATTCAGCTCATTGCATTTTTTTTTTTTTTTACCAAGTCCTTTAAGAAAATCGTTGGAAGGAGTAACCCTATCAAAGGACATGGGAAGATACACATTTTTCACCTGCGCAACAGGTATTAATTATGCAACTACTGTATGTAAAGCACATGGAAGGTGCTCCAGCAGAAACACAGATAAATAAGATCCTTATCATCCGGGAACCCAGAGCGCGGCAGAAGAGTTAATAAACACACACTCGATTACAATATAAGGGAGGAAAAATACGAGCAAAATAGTGCCGGGTACAAATGATTGTCAACACACCAAGTAATAGACATTTCAGTGGTTCAGAGACATGATTCTGAGAGCCTGCAGTGGAGGGGAGGCAGGGAGACACCCAGGACCCACCCAGGACCTGTTTCCTACAAGGCTTGGCATTTGAGCTGCCCATTTAAGGACAAGGGACATTTCCACAGGCAACGCCGAAGGAGCCTTGCTTACAGCATGAGACATCTTAGAAATCCCCCCAAGACAGCAACGTGTAGGATGGGGTTTTGCCACCTTGCCACTCTGATATTTAGACTAGATAATCCTTTGTTGTGGGAGGCTGTCCTGTGCCCTGTAGGATGTTGAACATCATCCCTGGCCTCCGCCCACTAAACGTCAGTAGTGCACAGGCACCCACACACTGACAACCGCAAAAGGTCTCTGGACGCTTAGGAGTCACTGCCTGCGCAGGGCAAACGCGTCCTTCGCCTTAACTATAATGAATAGCGATCGAGGGAGAATGGGGGGAAATAAAAGCTGAAAGGGAGAGAGGCCAGATCACACAAATTCTCAAAAGCCAAGCTAACAGGTCTGGCTGAGAAGTCCCTGAAGATCCTTCAGCAAAGCAGCTCTGGCTGCAGAGTGGGTTGCATCAGAGAACACGGAAGAGGACTGGAAGGGGAAAGTACATCGTTTTCTTTAGAAAATCGCATCAACATAATTTGTTTACATGTTTAAAGTATTTATGTGTGGGACGCCTGGGTGGCTCCGTCGGTTAAGCGTCCGACTTCGGCTCAGGTCATGATCTCACGGTTCGTGGGTTCGAGCCCCGCGTCGGGCTCTGTGCTGACAGCTCGGAGCCTGGAGCCTGCTTTGGATTCTGTGTCTCCCTCTCTCTCTCTCTCTCTCTCTCTCTGCCCTCCCCCACTCACGCTCTGTCTCTCTCTCAAAAATAAACATTAAAAAATAAATAAATAAAATAAAATACTTATATGAACATAAAAACCAGTGGTAAGGGGGGGGCGGTTAGCATCAATTAATAAAAAAAAAAACTGCGGGTTCTTTTAAATGTAAGTGACTTTCTGCTACTATTTCCCCAACTATCGCAAACACAGAATTACTAGTCAATAGGAGGAATCCAGGTGTAGAGAATCTAACTTAAATGTGAGGTGAGAGAGAATTGAGAGGAGACGGGGGAGATGACTAGAGTGGCCACGATTCTTTATCTCTTTGTCGCTAGATCTCTGTAGTTCCTCCTGGCCAGAGCTGGAGTCTGTCTACCCTCGAGCGATTCCGGGCCGGACTTGATGCTTGTTTTGAACCACAGACGGAAGCCCAGGCCTTAGCAGACTCTGCATGCTTTCAGCCATTCTCTTGAAACCCTGCTGCCCCCAAGTGAATTCAGGCCTGGGCTGATTTGCTGGGTGGTGAGAGATACGTGGCCCAAACACCCCCATCAGGACAACCAGTCACTCTCCAGGACCAGAGGACCTGCAAGCGACTGCAGGCACATGAGAAAGCCCCCGGCCTAATCCGCTCACCCGTGGAAACATGAGTCGAGTAAGTGGTGGTGGTCTGACGCTAAACACTGGAATGCTTTGTTACTCGACAGAAGCTGGCTGATACACTAGACAATAGTTCTGGTTTTTCAGGCTCTGTCGAGAAGTCAGAGAGGACTGTCCTAAGGCCTCGGTACAAGGTATAAGCGTCAACAGGAACAACTGGTAATCCCACTGCTAAACACAAAGGTCTTTACGTGGAAGTATCCATCAGTTAGGTCCCCCAAATATCTTTTCGTTCAATAGTGATCAGGCTTTGGGGGACGCCTTCTGGGTGGCTCAATAGTCGGTGAGTGACGTGGATTGGCTCAGTCTTCTCAGGTTGAGCGGAGTCAGCACTAGGTCTGTGCGATAGCTCCACGAGGCCTGTGCTTCATAGTCCGACATAAGATCCTGTGTTCTTTTTCACCGTCCATTTTCTTGCCCATATATCTCTTCAAAATAAATAAACATTAAAAAATAGTGAAATCATTTCTTTTTTTAATTTTTTTTAATTTTATTTTTTGAGAGAGAAGAGAGAGAGAGACTGAGTGTGAGTAGGGGAGGGGCAGAGAGAGAGGGAGACACAGAATCTCCGAGCCGTCAGCACAGAGCCCTACACGGGGCTCGAACTCAAACTCACAAACGGTGAGATCACAACCTGAGCCAAAATAGGATGTGAAATAATTTAAAATACTAGTTCTTAATTTTGGAGGTGATATTCTGAGAATCTAATGAAAATTATACAACCACACCCCGGGGGGGGGGG